AATCTGTTCAAGCTTCTCTTCAGACTCAAGTTTTCTTCAGAAGATTTTTCCATTGTTCAAGCTTCAACGAGTCGAATTGTTTCTTTTCAACTGCTTTAGGATTAAAAGGATAAATTCCTGGCATACGAAAACCATTCTTTAAAACTTGACTGTCGATCTGTGTCCAAACTTCTCCGATTAGCCTCGCGAACACTTTTTTCGATAGTGTAACTCCAACATTCAAACGCTGCCATTTGACAAGGAGCCGATCCCAACGGTTTTTAAAGGATTTCATAACTGCCACATCAAGCGGCTGCAAAACATGACTGGTATGTGCCGGTAATTTTAATACGGTTATATCAGCTTTTTGAGCTTCTTCAATTACATTTAACCCCACATGGGTCGCGTGGCCATCATATGTGAGCAGAACTGGACGTTTATCCCCAACATTTGGAATAAAAACTTTTTTAAGTACGTCTCGAATACCTCGGTCTCCATCCACCCATTCTTAGTCGCAGCGTAAGTTAAATAAATAAATAAATAATTTGCCTTTATAAATTATCAGTGGCGGCATTTTTTCTCCAAGTGCATTAATTCCAAGCAAAACAGTTGTGTTATCCTTTCCAGGTGAAGCAATGACTCTAGTAGCCGCGTGTCCTTTTAGTCCAACGATTTTGGTTTTTTCTGGGTCTTTAGAGAAGCTTGTCTCATCCTAATTCCAAATTGCAGACGGTTTTTCCAAAAGATTCAAATCTTTTAATGTTTCCTCGAGTAAATCAAAGTAGTGGTATACAATGAATGGATTTATTGCTTTCTTTCGTGCGTATTCAACTGATTGAGGTTTTTTAATAGATAAATGATGTCGGTTTTTTAATGCAGCGAACCACGCATTACCAGGTGTTCCGTCGTCGATATTTTGTTCCTTTTCACAAATTCCGCCACCATTTCCAGCATTTCTGTTTTAGATAATCCAAAGCCATGCTTATCCATCAGGTGAAGACAGGCAGCTAATTTTTGTTCGACTTGTAATGGCAATGCCGTGTTTCTTCCTAGTGAATTTGATTTGGTCCTCTTATTATTCACATGATCCATAATGGTCATTCTCGGAATCTTATACTCTTGTGAAGCCTTGTAACCGCTCAGTTCCCCATTTTTTACAGCTCTTACTGCTGCTTGTAGCTCCCTACAATAGGACGATCTGTCCGTTTTCCTTTTATAGTTACTGACCATAATGGCAAAATTGGCACTCGTCACTGGGATAATGGTCGTAAATAGCAAATTTGGAACACCTTGACACCAGAAGAATTGAAATTCTAATAAAAATTGTATATTCGATGCTTGAATCTTAAAATGGTGTGGCAAGCTACAATCGGGTCTGTAGCTACAATTAAAACAACTTTTTGCGAGTATGAAGTGGGTTATTAACCAAGGCCACTTTTTCTGGTATAAACTTTTAAAATCGGTTCTTTGTAAAAAACGATCGATATCTAGAAAATCTGGCATCTTTCTGCATAACGTGTAGGCGATAACTCTGAAACAAATAATTACAGGTTCGATGGTTTTGTTCTTTCCCTAAACTTACCTATTTTCTTAAATATATCCATGCCATCTTAGAAAGGGAATCGAGCAATGCGTAATATCAAAATTCTGCGATGTCTAAAGCCCAAGAAAAGTTTTCTTAGCAACTCGTGTCAAGATCTGCATAAGACAATCAAAATTATCATTTTCTATCCTAGTTTATTACAGTAGTGATAGTCCCACCACTGAGCATTCCTCATCTTCTATATATCAGCTTGATATTATATACACCTCTAAATTTTAATTAGTACAAAGATTTTAGGGGATGATAGTGTCCATCAATACGAACAATTTTTTCTACGGCGCCATCCACGGAATCGCGAAAAAAAAGAGTCGATGTTGTACTTTTGTATCGAACAGCAATTCTGTGGTTGACCCCATAGTAATAATTGTTCGTATTGATGGACACCATCATCATCACCATCAAAAGGCAATCGGGTACATTACTTGACTATCCGGAAGAGGAACTGACTTGCTTTTATCACAAAACTAAAAGTCTAATGTAAAAAAAGTTCTTGCTCGCATCATCGATCATCTTATGAAGAAGTCTGTAAAGGTTGGAGTTGTCGAATCATTTTTATTTATGAACGAAAAGAAGGAGACTGCTGGAAGATCAAGTTTTGGCCCTAACTACTTCATTGGATCTTTCAAAATGGAAGTACCTCACTTTAAAGTCTGCATTCATATCATAAAAAGATAATTTGTGGAGCATAAAATCAATGTTTACTCTACGCCAGTGGTTCTCAAACTTTTTAAATGACGGAACCCTTTTGGGAAGCAAAATACTTGATGGAACCCTACAATAAAACAATTATTTTTATAAGTGTATTCTATATTAATCAGCATAATAAAAGTACAATGTATCCGTTACTAATTATTATTTACTTCACCACTTGGTAAGGACAATAATAGAAAACATTAAAAAAGAAAAAATCTAACTAGTGGGAGGTATGAAACTGTTTTTTATTTTTCATCAATTGCTTGATATCAGGTTTGATGGAAGAAAGTTGGAGTCTCATATCAGCTTCGGCGTCCAGTCTATTGCGATATTTTGTTTTCGTGGCTGCGTAGGTAGAGAATCCTGTTTCGCACAAATATGTAGTTGGGAACGGGAGAAGAATATCCAGAGCCATTTGGCCAAGCATTGCATATTCATCTTGGATTCTGCACCAAAAATCATTAAGAGGCGTCGTTTTGAACAATGACTCCATACTTGTGTCTGATGACATTTCTAAAAGAGATTCATATATCTCATTTGACATGTTTTCAGGCTTTTCCAAGTTGGGTAAAAAAGGATTATGAATCCAGGAGTTCACTTTAATTTTTGTATTGTGTTCTTCGGGAAAATACTTTTCAAAAGATGCGCGCATCGAACTGAGATATTGGACCAATTCTTCAAACATTTCTGAGTCGTTTTCGCTAACAAACTCAGTGAGTAACGTAAAACTTTCTATTTCTTTCTTACCAATGCAAATGATCCAAAAATCTAATTTTCTTTTAAAAGTAGTTATTTTATTATAGGCCTGAAACACTGTTGTCTGTTTACCTTGCAATGATAAATTTAATTCGTTAAGTTTTTGAAAGATATCCGCCATAAAAGACAATCGGAACAACCAAGTTTTATCATACAAACGGTCCTTCAAATTAAAAGAAGTATCTGCTGAAAGAAACATTTGTAACTCGGCTCTAAGTTCAAATAGCCTTGTTAAAGTTTTTCCCCGAGACAGCCATCGCACTTCTGTATGGAGCAGCAGTGTTTTATGTTTGCTGCCATAATCTTCACACAATAATGAGAACAATCGGGATTGTAGTGGTCGTGATTTGATAAAATTAATTATTTTTACCGCTTCATCCATAACTAATTTTAGATTAGACGGCATTTGCTTCATCGCAAGTGCTTGTCTATGCAGAATACAATGACTGGAACTACAATTAGGCGCTTTATTTTTCATTCGTGACACTGCTCCTGCTGTTTTACCTGTCATCGCCTTGGCCCCATCTGTACAAATGTCAATGCAATTGTTCCAACTGAGATTATGTTCTTCAAAAAATATATTTATTTTATTAAAAATTTCTTCCCCGGTAGTGTTTGTAAGCAGCGATGAACACATAAGCATGTCTTCTTCAAAAGAACTTTTATATGGATATCTCACAATAACCAGCAGGATAGCCAAACCAGCGACATCAGTCGACTCGTCCATTTGCAAAGCGAATCGTGTATTTTGTAGACGTGTAACTAGTTCTTGTTTGACGTAGCTTGCCAGATCATGGATTCGTCGTGAAACAGTATCGTTTGATAGCGGAACAGTAGAAAGATGCTTTGCAGATTTTTCATCAAGCATACATTTTGTTATGTCTAATACACATGGTTTTATTAATTTCTCAGCGATAGTGTGCGCTTCACCTGCTTGTGCAATGCGATAGCTAACTAAGTATGATGCCTCCGTGGCCTTTTCGTTGGTAGTTTGTGTTACATGCATCATATTTTTTTGACTTTCTAATAACTGATCTTTTTTGCGAACAAAAAATTCTTTATTCTTGTCTTTAGTCTCGGGGTGTACGGTTTCTAAATGTCGACGCAATTTGGCAGGTGCCATGGAACTATTAGGAAGCAGTTTACTACAGAGCATGCAGAGAGGTGAGCCGTTGGAATCAACAAATCCGAAACTGATATAAGATTCATCATACTTCCTTTTTTTCGTCTTTGAAACCGTCGAGCTTGACGTCGTGGCACTCGTGGCATCATCTTCTGGATCGGTGATTGCTAAATTCTCCGCGCGCATTGCTTTTGAACATTCAGCGTCATTAGAAGATGTTGTTGGAACACGTTTAACACCTTTAAGCCAACGTTCCATTCTTCTTTATTTATAATGTTACAAGTCAGGATAGTGGGGTTTAAATAATGCACAATCGTTACTGCGTATAAGAGACTAAATTTAGAACCTACAGGGAAGAAATGTATAAAACTGAGACAACAGAATACAGCAGGCAGTAAAACAATGAACACCAGTTTCTCGCTAGCGAGCTTGTAAGTAGGTAGTAACTTATCGCTCCGAACGCTAATCATCAACTGACGACGCCAACGCGCGATCGCCGCTTTTATACTTAGTCCTAGACTCGATCTCAAATATTCTCGAAAATACTCGAGTCGGCACCTTTGATAAACAAAAAGCAAAAATAAAAACAGAAATTTAAAAATAGCGTTGTAAACAATATCGACTTTATCCTTTGAAGTTAGAGACGAAAGTCGCTAGTTGACAACTATAGCGTCTAATTCAGAGGCGGCTTTTATCAAAGAGACTGAGCGCTTACAAGTATACTACCCGCTCGTTTTAAGTTTGCCGCTGGCGATAGGTATGAGTGTATGACGTTCGAAATTTTTTATTTAATTGTAACAATAAAAATTGTGTACGTTAGATATTTGGGTAAAACTATGACACATTATAAGTTTTGTTGTCACGTGGGGGAGGGTACGCGCATTCCACAGACCGGCAAACTTAGAGCGAACGCGTTGTACAAGTATAAAATTGTTGAGACCAAACTTATGAGATATTGTACCAGCTAATGTAACACAAGCTTATACAAATACAAATAAATAAATAAATAACATTCATAGCGTTTTGTCTCCGCGCGGCCGCGGAGTCCGCACAGCCGCGGAGCGACCAGAGAGAGGTGTTTTGATTTTTTTATTTCTAAATTCTTGCGGAACCCCGACAGAGGTATCACGGAACCCTAGGGTTCCGCGGAACACACTTAGAGTATAGCTAACATTCGGAAGCTTGATTTTCAATCTTTCCCCAATCTTTAGAACAGGTTTTTGTACGTGGCTTCTTTTACATAACTTTTGTATCTAACGACCTAATCATTGACATGGAAGTACAATAACAGGATAATATATACAATAACTATATATAGAAAGTGTCGTAATATTTTATTAGTTCACTGAAATGTCGTCTTGAGAACAATGTCCCGTTGTATTGACCTCAGAAAATGACGTAACTTGTAACATATGCTTCTTATTTGAATGAACAAAAGCTATAAACTTCAGTTAATTATCTCAGGTGATATTTGGCCAATACCAACAGACCTCTAAGAGTTTATTTAGGTTTATGTCATTTCGTTAACTGGTGCCGTTGTTCGGAGTCTGGATCCATGACTAAATATGATTAGACCCCATATCAATAATAGGTATGTGGTTACCTTATGAATACAAATCAACCGTGTTTATAAAAAGGCAAACTAAAAGGTTATCTAGTTTGGGAATTTGCGTGTGTTAATAATTGTTCTATTATTATCACCATGGAGCATTGAGTTGATAACTATGTTTAAATGTAATAATTGGTAATTCCAATATTTTATTAGATTAATTAGGAGTAATTGAAATTCCCAATTAATTCGAAGCCCATTGTCATGATTAGAACTGCAAAAAGGAAAATCATAGTAATAGGTACTTTGAGAGTTATCTTATCTATATCCTGACCCAATTACATAAATAGTTGCCCGGTTGCCTACTTTTACCTGGTAGGTAAGCATCTAGAAGTTGATGATACATAAAAAAAGCTTGTTTCAAATAAAATATATTTAAGTACGAAACTAAAAGTATTTTTCGATACATGCTATACTGGTCTGAAAATAAATTTAGCAGTTCATTCATCCGAGGACCGACTATTGTGACGGTAACTCCAATATTAAATTTGCCATTTATCAAAGATACAGATACATGAATTTTGTCGTTTTTGTAATTTGTGCAGTAGGCAGATATGAGTACATATGTTTACACACTCATCCTGAGCAGATAGTATCAAACTACGTTCAGATCATTTAAAAAGTCTTTGTTCTAATCAAGCTAATCATAATAAAACAAGTCATTTACGATTGATTTTTATTAATTTCGAAATAATAGAAAGAAAAATAAAAGTAGAAGTCTCATAACAAAAAAGTGCTCGACAACAGTAAATAAACTTTAATATCCTTGAAACTTAAGCTAGTTTTGTTAATTTATATTCGTATTGATATAACAAGAATTAAAACAAAATGGCATACTTATTAAAATGAAAAAAGCTTTGATTTGTTGTGAGGATTTAGTAAGTATTTGTTTCTATCATTATTAGTCATTTTAAACTATAAATAATATTTAATTTTATGATTAGAAAATCATGTCAATTTTTTCGAATCTAGGAATCATTAATTATGCAGTTTTATTATGCAATGGTCAGTGACCGCTGAAAAAATCGATCAGACGAATCAGACGATCATTCGGGGTTTAGTGCTGCTGTGATTATTCAGATTTATATTTAAAAACTGATGTTTTACTTTTAGCTGATATAACTTTATTCAAATAACTTTTTTTATCACCGGTCTATAATCGGCTTAAGCTCCGCATAATAGGCCTGATAAGGAAGAACTTCTATAGCCTGTTGTGTATAAAATATTTAATGTGACATTAGTAATGGCTCATATATATTCCTTATGGAAATTCATGTGAAAAACCTTTTATTACGGTGGAGTCCATTTGAATTCATAATAACCTCATAAAAGGTCGAGCCTTAAAATTTAACTATCGCCTGTTCCCTTGCTGTCACAGTTTCATAAATAATGAGCTTTAAATCCTAAATAATTGGCAATAAAATGAAATTTCTGACAAATTATCTACCGAAACACCCGGCTCTCATCAGGCACTAAAAAAATTAATATCCTTGTAATAAAGTCAAGGTACTCATTTAGAACGTAATTGCATCAAACATCTCATCAAGGTTTGAATGAATTCCATTTAGTAGTTGAAAAACTTTGGATCTATGACAAACTTCTGGAGGTATTAGATGAAAGTGTATGATATAAGCTGACCAAGTTACACGGCCATCTGCTTTTAACGTTCTATAGGGAAATTCTTGTCATAGCTTCGTTTTTAATTCGAAAGTTTCGTAATTATCTAAACTTGTTCGTAATTACGTAACTTAGAACTAGGTTTCCAGCAAAATCGGCCCAGCCATTTTTTATGCAGAATCAAATAACTGAAAAATATGGTAAACTAGCTAAATCTTATGCTACATAATTTTGTTACAAGTATGCTATGTCACATGTACACATGGATTTTATCATATATAACGTTCACGTTTAAATTTTTAATTTCCGTTATTCCGGTAAAAAACACAAAAACTTATTATGACAAATTAGTAATCATATAAAATATACATAAAAATATCTGTAGTTTTTTTGTTTTTTGAATATATGTACATATATGTACACTCGATTTCATTAATGCCTGGTTTATATTTTCTGAGCTTGTTATATATATTCTCAGCAATTACTGACCATGGTATGTGAAATATTTTATTTCTTATCAAGAAGATGGCAAGGACTATCAATGGAGTCGTTGCCAATGAGCAAAGGGGTAAGGAGAAGATGAACCACACAATAAGAATACACTGCTTTATATGATTATATATTTATTAAAAGCATTTTAGCACAATTTGATAGAAATATGATAAAAAATTAAATATGAGTAGCTGATAATATTCAATAATTTTATTATCATGCAAACGGCTGAATACGCGTGGAGCTGAACATCAGATCTGAAACAAAAAGAAATATATGAGTCACATTTAGCACTGTTGTCAGTTTTCAAAAAGTACGCTAAAAATAACAGACTGCTTTTAAAGCTGATTTGAAATTATAAAACTTGTAATTTTGATATTAAAAATGAAAGAATCTTCAAACTACTTATTCCAGTTTAAGTTGGAGAATGTTAGGATAATGAATTCTACGATTTTTGATACAAAAAATACCCAGAAAAAGGTAAATAAAATATCAACACAATTATTAAATACTTTGAGAACAAGCTATTAAAAAACTTTTCAATTGAATGAGTACCAGAGCAACGTTGAAAAGTTTATCCAACCATTATATAATACATGGCAAAAAAGACATATAATTCAGTGTTCTGAAATAAAATGCCATTGAACGTTCAAATTAATGCACTATAAAATATTTTATGACTCGCCAAAGGATTGGCCTATTATTTGTATACCCATAACACAAATACAGCTGTGAGCCGAAAAAGAAGAAATCTGAACTATTTTGGCGGTTTTCTGTTTATTTGTACTGCGCAGTATCCAAACTTCGGCAGCAACTTTAAATTTGTACCGCTCTTAAGTTAGAGTGAATAAGTTTCCGAATCCAATACCCCTTTTACGAAAAAATTAGCAAGAAAGGTATCATGATATGTTACTGATTAGGTTAGTAACAAAAGAGCCGATTACAATACCTCCTACCAGGAAGTTGAAGAAGAAAAGAATGACTAAAAATAGCAGAATTGATATGATTTAGGGAAAAGCCTCCCCAAGAACGAGAATCTTGTGAAGTTCAATGTAGGAATTCGGTAACATTGTTTTGGAGTACCATATGGAAGGGTTTATTTCGGTGATGGCTTTCAGCCGAACTTTTCCATTGAAAAAAAAAAAAAAATTACAAGTGCATTGAGATGATTTACAAAAATGGTGATATATAACCTTTAATCTGTCTCTTAAAATGGGTTATCATTAGGAATCAATTTTACTTCTGCGAAATGGTTTTCGGCACAAGCAAAAAAATGCATATCGTTTGAAATTCATTATAGAATAACATATTCCAAACGCAACAAAATCGGTAATAACAACACCTCTTGGAAGTTATTGAAATATCCAAATTATTTAAAGTCACTTCTGTTAAAGTTCAAAGAAATTTTAAGCACTTTAAAGAAAAATTAAAACAAACACCTTATAATTTTATTCGGGGTTTAGTGCTGCTATGATTTCGTCGTTCAACATCACTAACTTGCGACACATAAATCTAAGTTCCGCTTGTAGTCTTGTTTTGTCGTTTTGAAGTTTTATTATGTAGTTATTATCACAAACTCGTTGTTTTTTCCACTTATTCACCGATTCGTCATTAATTTGATTAAGTTCTTTAAACATTATTTTTAAAATTTTCTTAGCAATTTTTGTACGGTATTCGTTCGTATTGATTGAATCCATCCTACTTTCTATGGTTTACTATCTAGAAGCGACCGGTCGCGACTCTTCAGTGTTTATTTTGACGTAGTGCCGATCATTCCCTTCTGTATTTATACTCTCTGTTGGCGCACACTTCTGCGCAGTTTGGTAATTAGATTACAATAAGCATATATCTTTTCAAAGAAAAAATATAGAGGTGAATTTTACATCCACTAGTAGAATTTATCTGTCTGTGTGATTTCTAAGTAGCTTATACTATTCATTTAATAATCTGAATACATTTTTCGGCTTATTTCAATATCAAGGGACTTTTAACTAATTTCTTCGCGTCTACAGTATCAAACAGTTTTTGAGTCAGAGCTGGTAAAAGTTTTTCGCGGCCATTTCTTTATCTTTGAATCTACTCTCCCGTAATTATGTTCGAAAAAAAACATATTGAGGAGGTACAGTCCAGCTTTTCGTCTGAATTAAAGGTAAGGCTTAAATTTATACACTTCAAAGTGATTACACAAGTTTTGATTATCTGAGTTATTACGGGGAGATTAGAGAATTTAGGTTTATTTAAAACTTAAGATGTAAAATAAGATTAGAGAAGAAATTTTTTCAAGAGTTCTTTATCTGTTGAAAGTTCAGCTTTTCCAGTAATTAAGATTAATATTTTTTGAGCCTAATCGGCAAGAGTATTTACAGATGGATATCTTCTATATGACCACATACATCTTGCAACCGAATCGATGAGGCAATTTTATGATGAATGTTAATAAACTTGGTCCCGTTTGTTAGAGAGTAATTTTCTGTGATACAAGATAAATTAGGTAATATACTCAAAACTTGAAAAAGATAGCTTTCATTATTTACCTTTCGTTTAATTTTCTTCTATTGAGTTTAGTTGGAATGTGTTTTTCATTAAATCCATAAGCATTTGTTCGATTAAACTACAAATAAATCCTTGGGACAAAGAAGTGACCAACCGTCATTTGTAATGATAAAAATTGAGTAATGATCGAATCAATCCATGTCAAAAAAACTGGAAAAAATGGTAAACTAGCTAAATCTTATATATATATATTTTTTTATTATTTTAAAGCATGTAATTTTTTTAGTTATATTTCCTTTAGCTAAATCTTTTTATTTTTTCCACTGGGAAGTTAGTCGTGTGGACCTTTCGGGTCGCACCCAGACCATTGGAGAGCACTGATATTTAAATTCGTATTCAGTGTAGTCAAACCGAAATTGAAACGGGAACTTAGTTTCCGCAATGCCCTACAGGGGTAAAGCTTAAGATTGCATTAGTCCTTCAATTCGAATTGAAAGAAATGGAACAAATCTTAGGCTGTTCCTATGACACCTAAATAACAAATTCATTAGGCATAAGTTAGGAATGCCTTATTTAGGCTGATCTAAACAATTCCCAATAGGGGCCCATTATAAAATCTACTCGAGTCCATACATTTCGAACTGAATAGCGTCTGGGAAGTTTGTCCTGACTATCCATATATTTAGTATATCGCACAAGCCGCGTTAATTAGACATCAATGTTAGAGACGGTTTGGCAGGTCATTCGTCTGATCGATTTTTTCAGCGGTCACTGACCATTGCATAATAAAACTGCATTATACTTCATGCTTCGTCCGAAGAGATTAGCTTGAATAACACATGTAGTACGCGTAGCACGCGCCATTACACACTATATTGAGAATATATAAACTAAAAAGAATAAAATTATTAGTTTTTTTTCTTTTAAATTTGGAATATGTGTAAGCCCTGGCGCCCGTCATAGCTGTCATTCGCTTTTTAGTGTGTCGCCGTTTCACATCTAGTTTTATTTCAATTCTGTTAAAAGTGGTTATTTAGGATGCCCAAACGTAAGAAAGATAATTGTGAACACATTAAACGTAAGATAGAAGATTGGAGAGAAAATTGGAACGTAAAAAGAACGACTCTGATGCGCAGACGGCCCATCAACTCATCGAAGCAGTCGCAATATCTGCAGCAGAGACAGAACAACAATCGTCGTTAAATACGGTAATGCATGCAGGTCGTTTATCATTATTCTATAAAGAATGGTCAATGATTACCAAGGACCCACTGGTCCTTTTTTATATAAAAGGATATAGGATTCCCTTCAGTCGAAAACCAATGCAACCTGTATCACCATCAATTCGAAAATGTACTGAAAAGGAAAGGGCTCTTTTCATTCACGAAATTGAAAGCTTGCTGTCTTTAGGAGCAATTTCAGAGTGTGATAACAGATCTGATCAATATATATCAACAATATTTTTAATACCTAAGCCAAATGGTAAAATGCGCTTCATATTAAACTTAAAGTCACTTAATAAATTTATTGACACAAATCATTTTAAACTGGAGGATTTAAGAACGGTTATAAAATTAATATCGAGAGATTATTACATGTGCACAGTTGATCTGAAAGACGCATATTTTTTGTTAAAAATTCATGAGGAAGATAGAAAATATCTTAGATTCCAATTTGATCACAAAACATATGAATTTAATGTCTTACCATTTGGCTTAAATACAGCACCTTTTGTTTTCACTAAAGTCATGAAACCGGTCATAAAATTGCTAAGATCATGTGGTTACCTGTCCACAATATATTTAGATGACTTCTGTTTAATAGGGTTAGATGAGGAGTCATGTCTTAAAAACTTACAAGATACCGTAAAGTTGCTTGCAAGCTTGGGTTTCATTATAAATACCGATAAAAGTAATTTTATACCTTCTCAGTCTTGTAAGTTTTTAGGATACATTTTAGACTCAAAGAAATTTCAGGTCACTTTGCCAGAAGGAAAAATGCAAAAAATTAAATCTGCAATACACAAGTTTCCTAACTTAAAAAGGTGTAGAATCAGAGAATTTGCTAGTTTTGTTGGACTTTTAATATCCGCTTGCCCAGCCGTAGAATACGGTTGGTTATATACCAAATTATTTGAAAGATGTAAATATCTTAATCTAAATATCAGTAATAATTACGACAAAAATATGGATTTACCTTGTTATTTGAAACAGGATTTTTATTGGTGGAGCCGCACCATGGATAAAAGCCCTGCTTCTAAGATAAAAATTGACAAGTATAACCTAGAAATTTTTTCGGATGCCTCAAATACGGGGTGGGGAATTGCATGTGGAGACGACAGAGCAAGTGGTTTATGGAGTACAAATGAAAGTAGCAGGCATATAAATTATTTAGAAATTCTTGCTGCATTTATTGGTTTAAAGATATTTTCCAAAAATATGTCTAACTGCCAAATACTTCTCCGAATCGACAATACCACGGCAATTTCCTACATAAACCGTATGGGTGGTATTCAGTTCCCACACTTGACAGAGATCACAAAAGAACTCTGGCAATGGTGTGAACGTAAAAATCTTTACGTCTTTGCATCTTATATTCGATCTTCAGATAATTACCATGCAGATCAAGAATCGAGGCGAATACATCCGGATATTGAATGGCAACTAGCGGATTATGCCTTTCAACAAATCATTGAAAAATTTCATAAGCCTGACATTGACATATTCGCTAGTCGCTTAAATAATAAATGTCCAAGATATATATCATGGCAAAGGGATCCGGATGCATACGCCGTAAATGCTTTTACAGTGTCGTGGTCAAAATTAATTTTTTATGCTTTTCCTCCTTTTACAATGATTCTGAAATCTTTAAGAAAAATTATCTCAGACAATGCCACAGGTATTATAGTTGTTCCATTTTGGCCTACACAACCGTGGTATCCACTTTTTAAGAGTCTTTTAATAAGTGAACAATTAGTTTTCAAAGCAAATTCAAATCTTATTTTATCTACAAATTCCAGCCGCGAACAAATGCGCAACTCCATTACCCTGGTGGCAGGGGTCTTATCCGGGAGGCGATGATACGAAGAGGCGTCCCAGAATCTACTGTGGACATCATGCTTAACTCCCTTTCGGATAACTCGTATAAACAGTACGAAGGTTGCTATAAAAAGTGGTTTATTTATTGTCAACAGAATAAGTTAAACTTAAACGAAGTATCAATTCCCGACATATTAAATTTTTTAACATCAATTTTTAACAGTGGTGCTCAGTATGGTACAATTAACTGTTATCGCTCCGCTTTGGCGTTGATCACTAAAAATAGTATCTCACAAAACCAAGAAATAAAAAGGTTTATAAAAGGAGTTTTTCGTACTAGACCTCCACTTCCTAAATATAATGAAGTCTGGAATATAGCTCAGGTTTTAAGTTGTCTTGAAAAATGGTTTCCCAATGAAAGTTTGAACCTGGAAATAATATCAAAAAAATTGATTACAATATTAGCCATTGCCACAGCAAATAGGGTACAAACCCTTTCCAAAATTAAAATTTGTAATATTGATAGGTCTTCTTCAGTAATTAAAATCAAAATTCCGGATCTCATAAAGACATCTAGAGTTGGAACAGCTCAACCATTGCTCGTTTTACCTTTCTATAACGAAAAGCCAAGTATTTGTCCTGCAAGAGTTTTGATTACTTACCTTGAAATGACTATGTCTCTTCGTGCTGATTCAGACAAATTATTTATAAGTTACCGAAAGCCATATAAGTCTGTTACTTCTCAAACCTTATCCAGATGGATAAAGAATACGTTACATTTAAGCGGAATTGATATTTCAATGTTTACTGCGCATAGTACCCGACATGCTGCTACGTCAGCTGCGCAAAATTTAGGTGTTAGCGTAGATCAGATTATGAAAACTGCAGGTTGGAGTTCGGAATCACATACGTTTGCCAAATTTTATAACAGGCCAATAAACAACAATTGTGATAAAGAATTTGGAATCACTGTTTTGAGTGCTTAATCAGATTATTTTTTCGTTTATTTCATAAGTTTTTATGTCACAAATAATATTGTTCTTTGGTTTTTTTGTTTTGGTTACCTTTTGTTTCGATGTTACAAAAATAAAGAAGCAACTTATGTTATATTTACTTTATTTATTATCCAGTTACCTATTACAATTATTAATATTTTTCGAATAGTCTCTAAATGTCTACATGTGTTATTCAAGCTAATCTCGAGGACGAAGCATGAAGTATAATTAGAGATTAAACGAACTTACCTGAAGTGAAGTTCTATCCTAATTATACGAAGGCTTCGTCCGAAGAGATTAGCTTCCCCCCCTCCCAAAAGTAATTATTATTCCCATATGTTATTCGATCATCGATCTAAATGACAGCTATGACGGGCGCCAGGGCTTACACATATTCCAAATTTAAAAGAAAAAAAACTAATAATTTTATTCTTTTTAGTTTATATATTCTCAATATAGTGTGAAATGGCGCGTGCTACGCGTACTAATCTCTTCGGACGAAGCCTTCGTATAATTAGGATAGAACTTCACTTCAGGTAAGTTCGTTTAATCTCTAATTATACTTAATGCATCGTCCTCGAGATTAGCTTGAATTACACATGTAGTACGCGTAGCACGCGCCATTTCACACTATATTGAGAATATATAAACTAAAAAGAATAAAATTATTAGTTTTTTTTCTTTTCTTTAAATTTGGAATATGGGAATTGGCAGATTCTGGGACGCCTCTTCGTATCATCGCCTCCCGGATAAGACCCCTGCCACCAGGGTAATAGAGTTGCGCATTTGTTCACGGCTGTGGCATTGTCTGAGATAATTTTTCTTAAAGATTTCAGAATCATTGTAAAAGGAAGAAAAGCATAAAAATTTTATTTCGACCACGACACTGTAAAAGCATTTACGGCGTATGCATCCGGATCCCTTTGCCATGATATATATCTTGGACATTTATTATTTAAACGACTAGCAAATACGTTAATGTCAGGGTTATGAAATTTTTCAATAATTTGTTGAAAGGCATAATCCGCTAGTTGCTACTCGATATCCGGATGTATTCGCTTCGATTCTTAATCTGCATTATAATTATCTGAAGATCGAATATAAGATGCAAAGACGTAAGAATTTTTACGTTCACACCATTGCCAGAGATCTTTTGTGATCTCTACCAAGTGTGGGAACTGTATACCACCCATACGGTTTATGCAGGAAATTGCCGTGGTATTGTCGATTCGGAGAAGTATTTGGCAGTTAGACATATTTTTAGAAAATATCTTAAAACCAATAAACGCAGCAAGAATTTCTAAATAATTTATATGCCTGCTACTTTCGTTTTTACTCCATAAACCACTTGCTCTGCCGTCTCCACATGCAATTCCCCACCCCGTATTTGAGGCATCTGAAAAAAAAATCTAGTTTATACTTGTCAATTTTTATCTTAGAAGCAGGGTTTTACCCATGGTGCGGCTCCACCAATAAAAATTCTGTTTCAAATAACAAGGTAAATCCATATTTTTGTCGTAATTATTACTGCTATTTAGATTAAAATATTTACATCTTTCAAATAATTTGGTATATAACCAACCGTATTCTACGGCTGGGCAAGCGGATATTAAAAATCCAACAAAACTAGCAAATTCTCTGATTCTACACCTTTCAAGTGAGAAAACTTGTGTATTGCAGATTTAATTTTTTGCATTTTTTCTTCTGGCAAACTGACCTGAAATTTCTTTGAGTCTAAAATGTATCCTAAGAACTTACAAGACTGAGTAGGTATAAAATTACTTTTATCGGTATTTATAGTGAAACTCAAGCTTGTTAGCAACTTTACGGTATTTTGTAAGTTTTTAAGACATGACTCCTCATCTAACCCTATTAAATAGAAGATATCTTAATATATTGTGGACAGGTAACCACATGATCTTAGCAATTATATGACCGGTTTCATGGCTTTAGTGAAAACAAAAGGTGCTGTATTTAAGCCAAATGGTAAGACATTAAATTCATATGTTTTGTGATCAAATTGGAATCTAAGATATTTTCGATCTTCCTCATGAATTTTTAACAAAAAATATGCGTCTTTCAGGTCACAGTTGATATATTAATGAGTTATTAATTTTAAAACCATTCTTAAATCCTCCAGTTTAAAATGATTTGTGTCAATAAATTTACTAAGTGACTAAGTTTAATATGAAGCGTCATTTACCATTCGGCTTAGGTATTAAAAAAAAATTGTTGATATATATTGATCAAGTCTGTTATCTCACTCTGAAATTGCTCCTAAAGACAGCAAGTTTTCAATTTCGTGTATGAAAAGAGCCCTTTCCTTTTCAGTACATTTTTGGATTAATGGTGATACAGGTTGCATCGGTTTTCGACTGAAGGGTATCCTATATCCTTTTATATAATAAAGGATACCATTCTTTATAGAATAATGATAAACGACCTGCATGCATTACCGTATTTAACGACGTTTGTTGTTCTGTCTCTGCTGCGGATATTGCGACTGCTTCGATGAGTTAATAGGCCGTCTGCGCGTCGGAGTCGTTACAGGCTCCTTTGTCCTCAGAGGACCCGTCGACCTGCGACTCGGACTCGGACCCTTGCAGTTTAAATTCCGTGAAGAACTGGCTGGATTTGAGCTTAGATTCTTTTTAGGAAACTTTGGTGTCGCTGATTGCCTAAGATCAGTGCCAGACTTGTTAATAGCTTTAGCTGATTTTATGGTTTCCGTTAAGTTTTCACCGAATAATTGTTTATAGTATATCAATTTTAGTATTTTGAAGAGGCTTCCTTAGATCCCTCTTCACGGCATTTAGAAGAAAATTTCTTCGTGTTATTGTATCAGAATTTTGACAATCACGTATAATTTTTGCGAAATCCATGAGTGTTTTAGCACGGCAGTATTTTTCTCATTTGCAGCCAGTATAGCTGTAATAGATTCTTCCAGACATGTGATTCCAGCAGTCAATTCCTTCTGTTTCAATTGAATGGCCTTATCGCGTTTTGTGATTATATCTGAAACAGCTGCTTCAATCTCAGGATTGAGCTCAGGTGGGTCAATCAATTTTCAATTTTCTGGGGTCATGTACTTATCTACAAGATATTTAGGCAATTCTTTGCTCACCTGTTGTGACCCAGTATTGGAATCTCGTTGAAACATTGTTATATATCTCTTTGCCATACCTATTCTCTGTAGTGGGGTCAGTGTCTAATATTTCTAATATTTTACTTTCTAATTGTATGTTTTCTGTTTCAGGAGCAGACATTTGATCTGAAGGTAGAATACGCTTCGGAGCCTCAGTCGACGAATGCCCATCATGGGATGTACTTTGGATTGCTTCCAAATGTGACCCCAGCACTTGTTCTAATTGTCCTTCAGGTTGACCCTCGGAACATGGTGCATCGAGGTCAACTATAACCTCTTGGTCGTCTGTAAAGGATATAGCAATATTTATATTCATACCATTTTGCATGTCAGTATTATATTGTAAGAGACAGTCCCCAGTTGTAATAACACGTACTGTCCGCAAACAACACTTTGTAGTACCTTATAACAGTCCCGTTGTACTGTTTGTAGGACCCAGTGACTGCAGTGTATATAATGATTGCTGTCATTATCTAAGGTTATGTATTATTTAACCTCAACTTATACGATTTAATTTTCGTAAGAGACAGTCCCAGTTCAAAGGAAAAGTACTGCCCGCAAACTATTGAAAATCGTGTACTATTAGGTAACTGCTTTTATTTCAGTAATGTTTTATCGTATTTCTGAAGATTATTTTCAGTAAGAAACAGTCCCAATTCAAGAAAGTACTGCCCGCAAACTGGTAATAATCTATACGAAAAAGCTTGCAAAAGTCTGTGACGAATCAATGCATGTCCAAATAAAACTTAAAAAATTAATCATTAATCCTTTACCAAGAAGTATTTATTTTATGAACTGCGTAAAAAATGTAATCATAGTTTGCATTCTTTGCGAACTGAGAGAAAAAAGGAAGTCACAGAACTCCAATACGAGTATAATATAATTATGTCAAGGTCAGCGACTTGTGAATGTATAAAAATACTTAATGTTCGTTACTTTAGTAGTACCTTTAGATACCGATGACGAACGATATGAAATTTCCGATAGCTCAGAACAAGATGAATTGTATCGACTGCGGTGGTGTTTTTCTTTACAGTGGGTTGCCAAATTAATAGGGACAGTCGTGAAATATTGGTATTTTGTACAATATTGGTCCAAAAGTCATTATAAACACATTTTATAGTTATAATTAGGTTTAATATTATAAGAATACATATCTACTAAGTAGTCTTAAGAATTAATATCTATATTAAATGATAAAAAAAAAATATATAAATGGATGAACATAATACTAAAAAATAATTAATATTTAGTGACATTTCCCTTGGCTTCTATAAGGGCTTCTATTCGTCTTGGCATGCTTTCTATGCACTGTTTAGCACTTTCTTTTATTTTAGGGTTGTGATGCCACACATTTATTAGTTTTTCTATCAATTTTACCTTGGTGGTTATCATCTCCTTGGCAATTTCCGCCTTGGTTATTTCCCATAAATTTTCTATGGGGTTCATGTCGGGAGAATTGCCAGGCCAAGGTAAAACTGGAATGTTGTGGTCTGCCAAGAACTTCGTTACACTCCTCGCTTTATGACATGGTGCTGAGTCATGCATAAAAACGAATTCCTCGCCATCTGGGAACCATTCTCGGAGTTGCGGCAATAAACGAGATTCTAAAACTTGTCGGTATTGGTCCTGTCTCATGGTTCCCTGGACAATGTAGAGGCGCCCAACTCCTTTAGAGCTTATGACAGACCACACCATAATCTTAACCGGATGTTTAACACGCTCCACGATGCAGTCGGGGTGATACTTCTCGCCTGGACGTCGCCTGACAAAGTTGCTTTTGTCGGCTAGAATCTCGAATGTTGACTCGTCTGAGAAACACACCTTGAAAAAACAGATATCTTTTTAGAATTTTGATAAATACTACTTAAAACGACATAAATTAGAAGTTTAAAGTAAAACTGACCTTACTCCAGTCTTCAACAGTGTTCATACGGTGCTCACGAGCCCAGGCAAGGCGTTTCTTCTTCATCGCTTCAGTCAACCGAGGTTTCTTAACTGGTCTATGACCAGTCAGATTCTCCTCAGCCAACCGCCGCTGCACAGTTCTTTTTGAAACTGCTATTCCAAACTCCTGAACCATCTGAGTTAAGAAACCCACACTTTTTTTTCGGTTTTGCAGGCAGATATCCCGAATTTTTCTGTCGCAACGTGGCGTAGTAATACGTTTTCTGCCACATCTGCCTTTTCTTTTGGGCGAAACTGGTTGATTCTGGTCCAAATTTAATTTTATTTTATTGACAGCAGACTTAGAAACTCCGGTAAGTTCCGCTATCTTTCTCTGAGAGTGACTCGTGTGCAGGAGAAGGGTTTGAACCTCAGATTTTTTTCTTGGAGTCAAATCAACGCCTCGACCCATACTGAAAGCCATAAAAATTAAAAAAAATAGTAGTTATATAAAAAAATTAATCTAAATAAATTTTTAACTTTAACAGTAAAGTAATACTCACTTTCAATAATAATTTATTGCACTAAATCACAAAAATAACTTTTTTTTAAATTAATCAATGTTTTATAATTTTACGCGTGTGAAGGACTCTGCGTCTCCAACGTTATTAAAATATTTTTAGAAAATGAACAGACCCTTTACACATGAAACCCACTTAAACTTTGAGTCAAAGAGATGTTGTGAATACAAAAAATACATTCCAACAACACTTGCACCACTTTAAAGTGCACTCAAGTGTGCCCAAAGAAATAAATTGATAAAAAATGTGACTGTCCCTATTAATTTGGCAACCCACTGTATGTTCCAATTTTCTCTCCAATCTTCTAATCTTCCGTTTAATGTGTTCATAATTAACTTTTTTACGTTTGGGCATCCTAAATAATCACTTTTAACATAATTTAAATAAAACTAGATGTGAAACGGCGACACACTAAAAAGCGAATGACAGCTATGACAGGCGCTAGGGCTTACCCATATTCCAAATTTAAAGAAAAGAAAAAAAACTAATAATTTTATTCTTTTTAGTTTATATATTCTCAATATAGTGTGAAATGGCGCGTGCTACGCGTACTACAATTATAATTTATTATTTCTAAGTGTTTTGCAATTTTGACACTTGGGGAAAATCGGGCATAGGTTCCCCGTCTAAACAGATTTCAGCCTAAAATTTTACAAGTCCAAACCACACTACTACTAAATTAATCCTAATAAACTTAAAGTCTTCTACTCTTGCAAGTTATTTCTCCTATGTAAATAAAGTTCAAATTCACTCACTCACTGATTGTTCCGCATGCCATACCATATGTGTTTCGTGTTCAACTTTCCAAAACTGCAGCGCCCTCTATTGTCAAGGTTTGTTTGTATTACAGCTTCAACTTCGACTCGAACCCTTTGGAATTACTCCACAGCAGCAGCAGTAAAACATAACACGGCAATAGACAATAAATTCCTCAACTCAACCTGAAAAACTTTTTTGTATGGCGCGCTGAACACGTTGCCTCTAGGTGAACCTTAATCCGGCATACCGTAGGACCAATACAGCGTCACTACAGCGCTACGTACCAAAAATGGTGAGCGGTCCCCTCCAACTGACTTCAACAGGAAGTCCTTCTCAGCTAGTAAGTAATGAGATGCAGAACCTACGCGTACCAGACAGAGGGGCTCAAATGGATTTAAACGCGTATTATAGAGAATGCGTACCTATTGGCAACGTACGCAATTTCCAGTCTGCAGCTCGACTGGTTGCTGGCCACAGAATTGAAGGTCAGATGAATCTCCTTGGCGAATATCCTGGGCCGATTAACTTACGGTACCCACTTTACCATATGCGGGATGAAGCTGCCGCAGCCTACGAGATTACCAGTGACTTCGCTGGGATAAGCCAATTGTACTATGCTCTGTAGTGACGCGACATAAGGTGCGATTAAATGAGAATCGCGACGGAAATCATCAACGAAGTCGTAATTCGCTGGCATTATTTCATTAGGATTCATTAGCAAGTCATCCTGCCAAATACATCCTGGTATCGGTGAGTGTTGATGGAACGACTCACGGTATGCACGCGGTGTAGCTGGATCCGCTAGAGCGACGACTGTATTCCGTAGATTACTTAATAATATGGCCTCTGGTCTTGGCACATATTGCCTTCGTCGGTCGTATACTTCGGCTGCAACGGCCGGTGTGTACATTTTATCCTCATAGGTGAGGTGGCCAACAGCATCGATAATTCTTTTTATTGGCTCGGGAACAATAGCGACTGATTGAGCGACGCGAAGCATGTCGCTGGTTACTCTATACTGGTAACAGTGCTCAGTGTAGCGAGGGACGACGGACATATCCTTCTTTATATTCTCCAATTTTGCCTCAAGGAGCCCGAGAGATACGCGGTAGAACGCGTAAATGCTTGGAATCTGGATGTTGGTATGATATGATATTGCTATATAGGAAAGATGACAAATCCCGATTCCTATTCCACGGGTGGTGATCGAAAGCGTGATTGCTTTCAGCGTCTGTTGTTCCGAGAGGCGGGCTAAAGCGTCGTTCTCGTTGGAGCCGACAAAAAGCTTAGCTCTAAGTTCATTCTGGAGGTTGTCCATGGTTACCTTGCCCTTCTGCTGGCGCATCTGGTCGACTCGGCCGCGTTGGTAAGTCTGCCTAGATTTGGTTTGATGCCCAGGTCGTTTGTTGCCCTTTCGTGGCTGTGGCGATTGCGCACGTGAGTTAGAAAAGTTATCCATCTCGAAGGAGTTGGAGGGTCTGCAATCAGAATCCCAAAAACTGGTACAGTTTGAGTCCTTTTTATTTCTTCGTGGTTACCTGTCCACAATATATTTAGATGACTTCTGTTTAATAGGGTTAGATGAGGAGTCATGTCTTAAAAACTTACAAGATACCGTAAAGTTGCTTGCAAGCTTGGGTTTCATTATAAATACCGATAAAAGTAATTTTATACCTTCTCAGTCTTGTAAGTTTTTAGGATACATTTTAGACTCAAAGAAATTTCAGGTCACTTTGCCAGAAGGAAAAATGCAAAAAATTAAATCTGCAATACACAAGTTTTCTAACTAAAAAAGGTGTAGAATCAGAGAATTTGCTAGTTTTGTTGGACTTTTAATATATCCGCTTGCCCAGCCGTAGAATACGGTTGGTTATATACCAAATTATTTGAAAGATGTAAATATCTTAATCTAAATATCAGTAATAATTACGACAAAAATATGGATTTACCTTGTTATTTGCGTCTGCGTCACTACAGCGCTACGTACCAAAAATGGTGAGCGGTCCCCTCCAACTGACTTCAACAGGAAGTCCTTCTCAGCTAGTAAGTAATGAGATGCAGAACCTACGCGTACCAGACAGAGGGGCTCAAATGGATTTAAACGCGTATTATAGAGAATGCGTACCTATTGGCAACGTACGCAATTTCCAGTCTGCAGCTCGACTGGTTGCTGGCCACAGAATTGAAGGTCAGATGAATCTCCTTGGCGAATATCCTGGGCCGATTAACTTACGGTACCCACTTTACCATATGCGGGATGAAGCTGCCGCAGCCTACGAGATTACCAGTGACTTCGCTGGGATAAGCCAATTGTACTATGCTCTGTAGTGACGCGACATAAGGTGCGATTAAATGAGAATCGCGACGGAAATCATCAACGAAGTCGTAATTCGCTGGCATTATTTCATTAGGATTCATTAGCAAGTCATCCTGCCAAATACATCCTGGTATCGGTGAGTGTTGATGGAACGACTCACGGTATGCACGCGGTGTAGCTGGATCCGCTAGAGCGACGACTGTATTCCGTAGATTACTTAATAATATGGCCTCTGGTCTTGGCACATATTGCCTTCGTCGGTCGTATACTTCGGCTGCAACGGCCGGTGTGTACATTTTATCCTCATAGGTGAGGTGGCCAACAGCATCGATAATTCTTTTTATTGGCTCGGGAACAATAGCGACTGATTGAGCGACGCGAAGCATGTCGCTGGTTACTCTATACTGGTAACAGTGCTCAGTGTAGCGAGGGACGACGGACATATCCTTCTTTATATTCTCCAATTTTGCCTCAAGGAGCCCGAGAGATACGCGGTAGAACGCGTAAATGCTTGGAATCTGGATGTTGGTATGATATGATATTGCTATATAGGAAAGATGACAAATCCCGATTCCTATTCCACGGGTGGTGATCGAAAGCGTGATTGCTTTCAGCGTCTGTTGTTCCGAGAGGCGGGCTAAAGCGTCGTTCTCGTTGGAGCCGACAAAAAGCTTAGCTCTAAGTTCATTCTGGAGGTTGTCCATGGTTACCTTGCCCTTCTGCTGGCGCATCTGGTCGACTCGGCCGCGTTGGTAAGTCTGCCTAGATTTGGTTTGATGCCCAGGTCGTTTGTTGCCCTTTCGTGGCTGTGGCGATTGCGCACGTGAGTTAGAAAAGTTATCCATCTCGAAGGAGTTGGAGGGTCTGCAATCAGAATCCCAAAAACTGGTACAGTTTGAGTCCTTTTTATTTCTTCGTGGTTACCTGTCCACAATATATTTAGATGACTTCTGTTTAATAGGGTTAGATGAGGAGTCATGTCTTAAAAACTTACAAGATACCGTAAAGTTGCTTGCAAGCTTGGGTTTCATTATAAATACCGATAAAAGTAATTTTATACCTTCTCAGTCTTGTAAGTTTTTAGGATACATTTTAGACTCAAAGAAATTTCAGGTCACTTTGCCAGAAGGAAAAATGCAAAAAATTAAATCTGCAATACACAAGTTTTCTAACTTAAAAAGGTGTAGAATCAGAGAATTTGCTAGTTTTGTTGGACTTTTAATATATCCGCTTGCCCAGCCGTAGAATACGGTTGGTTATATACCAAATTATTTGAAAGATGTAAATATCTTAATCTAAATATCAGTAATAATTACGACAAAAATATGGATTTACCTTGTTATTTGCGTCTGCGTCACTACAGCGCTACGTACCAAAAATGGTGAGCGGTCCCCTCCAACTGACTTCAACAGGAAGTCCTTCTCAGCTAGTAAGTAATGAGATGCAGAACCTACGCGTACCAGACAGAGGGGCTCAAATGGATTTAAACGCGTATTATAGAGAATGCGTACCTATTGGCAACGTACGCAATTTCCAGTCTGCAGCTCGACTGGTTGCTGGCCACAGAATTGAAGGTCAGATGAATCTCCTTGGCGAATATCCTGGGCCGATTAACTTACGGTACCCACTTTACCATATGCGGGATGAAGCTGCCGCAGCCTACGAGATTACCAGTGACTTCGCTGGGATAAGCCAATTGTACTATGCTCTGTAGTGACGCGACATAAGGTGCGATTAAATGAGAATCGCGACGGAAATCATCAACGAAGTCGTAATTCGCTGGCATTATTTCATTAGGATTCATTAGCAAGTCATCCTGCCAAATACATCCTGGTATCGGTGAGTGTTGATGGAACGACTCACGGTATGCACGCGGTGTAGCTGGATCCGCTAGAGCGACGACTGTATTCCGTAGATTACTTAATAATATGGCCTCTGGTCTTGGCACATATTGCCTTCGTCGGTCGTATACTTCGGCTGCAACGGCCGGTGTGTACATTTTATCCTCATAGGTGAGGTGGCCAACAGCATCGATAATTCTTTTTATTGGCTCGGGAACAATAGCGACTGATTGAGCGACGCGAAGCATGTCGCTGGTTACTCTATACTGGTAACAGTGCTCAGTGTAGCGAGGGACGACGGACATATCCTTCTTTATATTCTCCAATTTTGCCTCAAGGAGCCCGAGAGATACGCGGTAGAACGCGTAAATGCTTGGAATCTGGATGTTGGTATGATATGATATTGCTATATAGGAAAGATGACAAATCCCGATTCCTATTCCACGGGTGGTGATCGAAAGCGTGATTGCTTTCAGCGTCTGTTGTTCCGAGAGGCGGGCTAAAGCGTCGTTCTCGTTGGAGCCGACAAAAAGCTTAGCTCTAAGTTCATTCTGGAGGTTGTCCATGGTTACCTTGCCCTTCTGCTGGCGCATCTGGTCGACTCGGCCGCGTTGGTAAGTCTGCCTAGATTTGGTTTGATGCCCAGGTCGTTTGTTGCCCTTTCGTGGCTGTGGCGATTGCGCACGTGAGTTAGAAAAGTTATCCATCTCGAAGGAGTTGGAGGGTCTGCAATCAGAATCCCAAAAACTGGTACAGTTTGAGTCCTTTTTATTTCTTCGTGGTTACCTGTCCACAATATATTTAGATGACTTCTGTTTAATAGGGTTAGATGAGGAGTCATGTCTTAAAAACTTACAAGATACCGTAAAGTTGCTTGCAAGCTTGGGTTTCATTATAAATACCGATAAAAGTAATTTTATACCTTCTCAGTCTTGTAAGTTTTTAGGATACATTTTAGACTCAAAGAAATTTCAGGTCACTTTGCCAGAAGGAAAAATGCAAAAAATTAAATCTGCAATACACAAGTTTTCTAACTTAAAAAGGTGTAGAATCAGAGAATTTGCTAGTTTTGTTGGACTTTTAATATATCCGCTTGCCCAGCCGTAGAATACGGTTGGTTATATACCAAATTATTTGAAAGATGTAAATATCTTAATCTAAATATCAGTAATAATTACGACAAAAATATGGATTTACCTTGTTATTTGCGTCTGCGTCACTACAGCGCTACGTACCAAAAATGGTGAGCGGTCCCCTCCAACTGACTTCAACAGGAAGTCCTTCTCAGCTAGTAAGTAATGAGATGCAGAACCTACGCGTACCAGACAGAGGGGCTCAAATGGATTTAAACGCGTATTATAGAGAATGCGTACCTATTGGCAACGTACGCAATTTCCAGTCTGCAGCTCGACTGGTTGCTGGCCACAGAATTGAAGGTCAGATGAATCTCCTTGGCGAATATCCTGGGCCGATTAACTTACGGTACCCACTTTACCATATGCGGGATGAAGCTGCCGCAGCCTACGAGATTACCAGTGACTTCGCTGGGATAAGCCAATTGTACTATGCTCTGTAGTGACGCGACATAAGGTGCGATTAAATGAGAATCGCGACGGAAATCATCAACGAAGTCGTAATTCGCTGGCATTATTTCATTAGGATTCATTAGCAAGTCATCCTGCCAAATACATCCTGGTATCGGTGAGTGTTGATGGAACGACTCACGGTATGCACGCGGTGTAGCTGGATCCGCTAGAGCGACGACTGTATTCCGTAGATTACTTAATAATATGGCCTCTGGTCTTGGCACATATTGCCTTCGTCGGTCGTATACTTCGGCTGCAACGGCCGGTGTGTACATTTTATCCTCATAGGTGAGGTGGCCAACAGCATCGATAATTCTTTTTATTGGCTCGGGAACAATAGCGACTGATTGAGCGACGCGAAGCATGTCGCTGGTTACTCTATACTGGTAACAGTGCTCAGTGTAGCGAGGGACGACGGACATATCCTTCTTTATATTCTCCAATTTTGCCTCAAGGAGCCCGAGAGATACGCGGTAGAACGCGTAAATGCTTGGAATCTGGATGTTGGTATGATATGATATTGCTATATAGGAAAGATGACAAATCCCGATTCCTATTCCACGGGTGGTGATCGAAAGCGTGATTGCTTTCAGCGTCTGTTGTTCCGAGAGGCGGGCTAAAGCGTCGTTCTCGTTGGAGCCGACAAAAAGCTTAGCTCTAAGTTCATTCTGGAGGTTGTCCATGGTTACCTTGCCCTTCTGCTGGCGCATCTGGTCGACTCGGCCGCGTTGGTAAGTCTGCCTCGATTTGGTTTGATGCCCAGGTCGTTTGTTGCCCTTTCGTGGCTGTGGCGATTGCGCACGTGAGTTAGAAAAGTTATCCATCTCGAAGGAGTTGGAGGGTCTGCAATCAGAATCCCAAAAACTGGTACAGTTTGAGTCCTTTTTATTTCTTCGTGGTTACCTGTCCACAATATATTTAGATGACTTCTGTTTAATAGGGTTAGATGAGGAGTCATGTCTTAAAAACTTACAAGATACCGTAAAGTTGCTTGCAAGCTTGGGTTTCATTATAAATACCGATAAAAGTAATTTTATACCTTCTCAGTCTTGTAAGTTTTTAGGATACATTTTAGACTCAAAGAAATTTCAGGTCACTTTGCCAGAAGGAAAAATGCAAAAAATTAAATCTGCAATACACAAGTTTTCTAACTTAAAAAGGTGTAGAATCAGAGAATTTGCTAGTTTTGTTGGACTTTTAATATATCCGCTTGCCCAGCCGTAGAATACGGTTGGTTATATACCAAATTATTTGAAAGATGTAAATATCTTAATCTAAATATCAGTAATAATTACGACAAAAATATGGATTTACCTTGTTATTTGCGTCTGCGTCACTACAGCGCTACGTACCAAAAATGGTGAGCGGTCCCCTCCAACTGACTTCAACAGGAAGTCCTTCTCAGCTAGTAAGTAATGAGATGCAGAACCTACGCGTACCAGACAGAGGGGCTCAAATGGATTTAAACGCGTATTATAGAGAATGCGTACCTATTGGCAACGTACGCAATTTCCAGTCTGCAGCTCGACTGGTTGCTGGCCACAGAATTGAAGGTCAGATGAATCTCCTTGGCGAATATCCTGGGCCGATTAACTTACGGTACCCACTTTACCATATGCGGGATGAAGCTGCCGCAGCCTACGAGATTACCAGTGACTTCGCTGGGATAAGCCAATTGTACTATGCTCTGTAGTGACGCGACATAAGGTGCGATTAAATGAGAATCGCGACGGAAATCATCAACGAAGTCGTAATTCGCTGGCATTATTTCATTAGGATTCATTAGCAAGTCATCCTGCCAAATACATCCTGGTATCGGTGAGTGTTGATGGAACGACTCACGGTATGCACGCGGTGTAGCTGGATCCGCTAGAGCAGTGGTTCTCAAACTTTTTAAATGACGGAACCCTTTTGGGAAGCAAAATACTTGATGGAACCCTACAATAAAACAATTATTTTTATAAGTGTATTCTATATTAATCAGCATAATAAAAGTACAATGTATCCGTTACTAATTATTATTTACTTCACCACTTGGTAGGGACAATAATAGAAAACATTAAAAAAGAAAAAATCTAACTAGTGGGAGGTATGAAACTGTTTTTTATTTTTCATCAATTGCTTGATATCAGGTTTGATGGAAGAAAGTTGGAGTCTCATATCAGCTTCGGCGTCCAGTCTATTGCGATATTTTGTTTTCGTGGCTGCGTAGGTAGAGAATCCTGTTTCGCACAAATATGTAGTTGGGAACGGGAGAAGAATATCCAGAGCCATTTGGCCAAGCATTGCATATTCATCTTGGATTCTGCACCAAAAATCATTAAGAGGCGTCGTTTTGAACAATGACTCCATACTTGTGTCTGATGACATTTCTAAAAGAGATTCATATCGTCGATGCGCGTGCAATACCGCGAAAGAGCAGTTTGTTAATACCGCGTAACTGCTTTTGTACGATTTTACAGGAGGCGAAAAAAACTGGATATCTTAGTCATTTGCCTATATTTTACTGACTAAACTAAGTAGTAACTTTTTCGTGACTTACTCTGTAAAAAAATGACGTAAATTCAACCATAACTTGTTTAGATTCCGCGAAAAGTCACTTACGCGGTTTTGTAGCACTAAATATCAGAAAAATCAATTTATTATTAGCAAATACGCGGAGTTGAAATAAAACATTTTATTGAAAGAATTAATTTATTACGACAAAATAACAAAAATAACTTCAAAAATATAAGTTTAGACTTCTTAAAAAAACTTATCTGATAAACAATTATTTTTACTACTTAAGTATATAATATCCATAATCAAATTATAAAGAAACCTTTTTTTATTATTATGTTCCAGAGTGAGATCGGTCCCTTCTCATGAAAATACAATACCCATTTTTACTATATATCCAAAAATCACTATCTTTGGAATGTCAAATCAATATTCTTTCTTAAAATTACAGCATAATTTTAAGTCAATACTTATTTTTTGAGATCTACTTAAACATCACTTTTTTGCCATTGCACTTATTCTTATCAAGGCTAACTATTATACTTACACACTATAACAAAAATAAAGTAACAAAATAATCTGAAACTCAAATTAAAACTAGTAATGAATCACAACGTTTAGGATATTAGAAACATTATTTAAAAGGCAAGTTATCATAAAAGTTATGACAGTCTCTTGGTATGACACTCTTGAGCTCCTGCAGATGATGGTACTTTGTGGTGGTTATTGGTTGTCTAGATTGATAAAGTGAAGGCACACTATCTATTGAAAGTATTTTCTTTGGTCTTCTAGGCAAAGGCGTAAAGTTATGTGTGAAGTGGAGCTTATAGTCTATTGTACCATTTGGATTATACCTGAGTGCTCTTATGTCAACGACACAGTGATCACCCGCCCCACGACCAGGCCTGATTGATTCGTAAATCAGATAGTCTTTAAGACCGAAGTCTTTAAAAAAAGTAAAATCTGGTGTAATAACTTCATAAGGACTTGGTACTTTCCTTGCCTCTTTCGTAATAGTCGCATATTGAGAGGGTAAAAACACTTCTCTATTTTTCAATTTTCTCTCAATCACAGAGTGAACTGAGTCCACTTCCATCTGCGTGTGGCCTTTCTCCAAGTATTTCTGAGTTATCACTATGTTCTTGGCCATAGCTAAACGCAATAATGCATTCGATACAATATTGTTTCTATTTTGGGCGGTACAGCCATCTGTAAATATTACGACATCCTTGGGATCATCATCTATTAATTTTGTCAAATAGTCCACAAATAATGTAGCATAGGTAGTCGATTTTAAGTCGCATACCGTTTCGTCGAACCAGTAACACGTGACTCTATTATTCCCCAGGTTGTAGACTGTAAAGTTATGCACGGCTAGTTTTGTTTTAAAATATAGGGCACTGGCATTGAGGCAAGGACACAGTTTTACAGCCTGAAGATCTGCTGTTATTGCATGTATATTTCCTTTCTGTGCTGCTTCTTTGTCAGAACTTTTTTCAGCTCTGGCTAAGTCTTTTAGTTCAATATGTTTGGTATACTGCGCATCTGATATATTGCCTGCTTTGTGAGCGCAACACTGGTCGCATGCATCTTTTTTTGGTTGAAATATTGCGATATTCTCTTCAAATAAAGCACCTTCAAATACCTTTCTTGAAGCCACCGGTTCATTTCTTGAAACTGAGTAATCTACATAAAGACGATACAATTGCGACTTTGACTGTATGATGGGCTCCAAATATAATTTCGAGGAAGATTGTCTACAATAATGAGACGGCAGCTTCGGTAGAGCAATCAAATATTTTTTAGCTAAATCTTTTTTGGGTTCTTTGACAATTACTTCTCTTTGTTCAGGTTCAAATTCACTTTTATTCATCTTCTCTCCTAGCCAGTATCTAACGGTCCATTCTTTTATACCTAGTGTTTCCAGAAATGTTTTTTGGCAAACTCTTTCCTTTTTATCATTCACCTTTAAAAAATATTTTTTGGTATCGCTTCGCCTTGAATTTGAGCCTTTAGTTTTCCTGGTGGTAGGAATCTGATCCACCATTGAAGATACGTACATTTTCTTTTCTTGCCAACTCATTTTCCAATAGGTTTTAAAAATTTCTGACCTGACTTCTTCTGTTAATTTCGAACAATACATAGCTTTTCCACTGAAACATCGCATTGACATACATATTGGACCCATTATTCGTGCTGGTTTAGGATTATTTTGTATAAATTTAAAGCCATCTTTTTTAAATCCGATGTACTCTTCTCCTAACATTCTCTGTCGCTTATTTTTCATCCTTTTCCAATTTTTTTGATCCCCTTTGCGCTTTTTTTTGTTTGTTTTCGACTTTTCTTCTATTTCCCTTTCAGGGAACCATTCCATATTTTCTGGCGATAAAGGCTTTAAATTTGTTATATCTGAGAGGGCGACATAAGAAGGATCTGCGACAGAATCGTCAGACGAAAAATCAAGTCCGTCATTGTGCTCTACTACATTAACATTCAATTCAAGAGGAGTAATTTTATTTTCTCTTTGTGTTGGTACAGTACTTAAAAGTGTTGTAAATGTATTAAATTCGGATGTTATATCGTGATTTTGTTCTTGCTGTAATATATTATCTGACGAAGGTTTTGAATCTGATTGCAATGGTGGTTGATTGTGGTCATTATGTTTTCTTATTATTTCCTCTTTCTTTTTCAGTAAAATGTTTCGCCTTTCTAACAGATCTTTCAATGAAATCACGTCGTCGGCAACATCAGCATTTTCAAAAGGAAAACTATGATTGTCTTGATTTTCCATTATTATTTGCACCTAAAAATAATTTTAGTATGTTAGTATGTAAGTATTGTAAATTTAGTATTGTAGAATAAAATACCGCGTAGATGAAAAATTTTATCAAATCATGAAGTTTTAAAACCGCGTAATTACAAGATGGAGGTTATGTTTGCTAGAATCATTAAAATAATTAAATAATTACACGAAGCTACATTACCTAAGCTTAAACTATTGATAAACATACACGTTAAACAATAAAAACATACTTACATGGGGGTTTTCCACGGTAAAACAGTCGTAATCGGGAACACGCCCTAACCGCGTTGTAACTTCTTCGCCGGTTCGGTAAATACGCGGACTTGCTGCCAACTTCAGACGCACTGCTGTTCCGCGGTATTGTTGCGATGTCAAAATCAAGGTTCCTTATTGGCTAATTCAAAATGTGTCTAATCCACTACAAGCCAATACGCGTTATGAATCCATTGGCGAGATATTTCAATTTTGCGCCTTTTGCTGTTACGCGGTATTAACAAACTGCTCTTCAGCGGTATTGCACGCGCATCGACGATATATCTCATTTGACATGTTTTCAGGCTTTTCCAAGTTGGGTAAAAAAGGATTATGAATCCAGGAGTTCACTTTAATTTTTGTATTGTGTTCTTCGGGAAAATACTTTTCAAAAGATGCGCGCATCGAACTGAGATATTGGACCAATTCTTCAAACACATTATCTTCAAACATTTCTGAGTCGTTTTCGCTAACAAACTCAGTGAGTAACGTAAAACTTTCTATTTCTTTCTTACCAATGCAAATGATCCAAAAATCTAATTTTCTTTTAAAAGTAGTTATTTTATTATAGGCCTGAAACACTGTTGTCTGTTTACCTTGCAATGATAAATTTAATTCGTTAAGTTTTTGAAAGATATCCGCCATAAAAGACAATCGGAACAACCAAGTTTTATCATACAAACGGTCCTTCAAATTAAAAGAAGTATCTGCTGAAAGAAACATTTGTAACTCGGCTCTAAGTTCAAATAGCCTTGTTAAAGTTTTTCCCCGAGACAGCCATCGCACTTCTGTATGGAGCAGCAGTGTTTTATGTTTGCTGCCATAATCTTCACACAATAATGAGAACAATCGGGATTGTAGTGGTCGTGATTTGATAAAATTAATTATTTTTACCGCTTCATCCATAACTAATTTTAGATTAGACGGCATTTGCTTCATCGCAAGTGCTTGTCTATGCAGAATACAATGACTGGAACTACAATTAGGCGCTTTATTTTTCATTCGTGACACTGCTCCTGCTGTTTTACCTGTCATCGCCTTGGCCCCATCTGTACAAATGTCAATGCAATTGTTCCAACTGAGATTATGTTCTTCAAAAAATATATTTATTTTATTAAAAATTTCTTCCCCGGTAGTGTTTGTAAGCAGCGATGAACACATAAGCATGTCTTCTTCAAAAGAACTTTTATATGGATATCTCACAATAACCAGCAGGATAGCCAAACCAGCGACATCAGTCGACTCGTCCATTTGCAAAGCGAATCGTGTATTTTGTAGACGTGTAACTAGTTCTTGTTTGACGTAGCTTGCCAGATCATGGATTCGTCGTGAAACAGTATCGTTTGATAGCGGAACAGTAGAAAGATGCTTTGCAGATTTTTCATCAAGCATACATTTTGTTATGTCTAATACACATGGTTTTATTAATTTCTCAGCGATAGTGTGCGCTTCACCTGCTTGTGCAATGCGATAGCTAACTAAGTATGATGCCTCCGTGGCCTTTTCGTTGGTAGTTTGTGTTACATGCATCATATTTTTTTGACTTTCTAATAACTGATCTTTTTTGCGAACAAAAAATTCTTTATTCTTGTCTTTAGTCTCGGGGTGTACGGTTTCTAAATGTCGACGCAATTTGGCAGGTGCCATGGAACTATTAGGAAGCAGTTTACTACAGAGCATGCAGAGAGGTGAGCCGTTGGAATCAACAAATCCGAAACTGATATAAGATTCATCATACTTCCTTTTTTTCGTCTTTGAAACCGTCGAGCTTGACGTCGTGGCACTCGTGGCATCATCTTCTGGATCGGTGATTGCTAAATTCTCCGCGCGCATTGCTTTTGAACATTCAGCGTCATTAGAAGATGTTGTTGGAACACGTTTAACACCTTTAAGCCAACGTTCCATTCTTCTTTATTTATAATGTTACAAGTCAGGATAGTGGGGTTTAAATAATGCACAATCGTTACTGCGTATAAGAGACTAAATTTAGAACCTACAGGGAAGAAATGTATAAAACTGAGACAACAGAATACAGCAGGCAGTAAAACAATGAACACCAGTTTCTCGCTAGCGAGCTTGTAAGTAGGTAGTAACTTATCGCTCCGAACGCTAATCATCAACTGACGACGCCAACGCGCGATCGCCGCTTTTATACTTAGTCCTAGACTCGATCTCAAATATTCTCGAAAATACTCGAGTCGGCACCTTTGATAAACAAAAAGCAAAAATAAAAACAGAAATTTAAAAATAGCGTTGTAAACAATATCGACTTTATCCTTTGAAGTTAGAGACGAAAGTCGCTAGTTGACAACTATAGCGTCTAATTCAGAGGCGGCTTTTATCAAAGAGACTGAGCGCTTACAAGTATACTACCCGCTCGTTTTAAGTTTGCCGCTGGCGATAGGTATGAGTGTATGACGTTCGAAATTTTTTATTTAATTGTAACAATAAAAATTGTGTACGTTAGATATTTGGGTAAAACTATGACACATTATAAGTTTTGTTGTCACGTGGGGGAGGGTACGCGCATTCCACAGACCGGCAAACTTAGAGCGAACGCGTTGTACAAGTATAAAATTGTTGAGACCAAACTTATGAGATATTGTACCAGCTAATGTAACACAAGCTTATACAAATACAAATAAATAAATAAATAACATTCATAGCGTTTTGTCTCCGCGCGGCCGCGGAGTCCGCACAGCCGCGGAGCGACCAGAGAGAGGTGTTTTGATTTTTTTATTTCTAAATTCTTGCGGAACCCCGACAGAGGTATCACGGAACCCTAGGGTTCCGCGGAACACACTTAGAGTATAGCTGCGCTAGAGCGACGACTGTATTCCGTAGATTACTTAATAATATGGCCTCTGGTCTTGGCACATATTGCCTTCGTCGGTCGTATACTTCGGCTGCAACGGCCGGTGTGTACATTTTATCCTCATAGGTGAGGTGGCCAACAGCATCGATAATTCTTTTTATTGGCTCGGGAACAATAGCGACTGATTGAGCGACGCGAAGCATGTCGCTGGTTACTCTATACTGGTAACAGTGCTCAGTGTAGCGAGGGACGACGGACATATCCTTCTTTATATTCTCCAATTTTGCCTCAAGGAGCCCGAGAGATACGCGGTAGAACGCGTAAATGCTTGGAATCTGGATGTTGGTATGATATGATATTGCTATATAGGAAAGATGACAAATCCCGATTCCTATTCCACGGGTGGTGATCGAAAGCGTGATTGCTTTCAGCGTCTGTTGTTCCGAGAGGCGGGCTAAAGCGTCGTTCTCGTTGGAGCCGACAAAAAGCTTAGCTCTAAGTTCATTCTGGAGGTTGTCCATGGTTACCTTGCCCTTCTGCTGGCGCATCTGGTCGACTCGGCCGCGTTGGTAAGTCTGCCTAGATTTGGTTTGATGCCCAGGTCGTTTGTTGCCCTTTCGTGGCTGTGGCGATTGCGCACGTGAGTTAGAAAAGTTATCCATCTCGAAGGAGTTGGAGGGTCTGCAATCAGAATCCCAAAAACTGGTACAGTTTGAGTCCTTTTTATTTCTTCGTGGTTACCTGTCCACAATATATTTAGATGACTTCTGTTTAATAGGGTTAGATGAGGAGTCATGTCTTAAAAACTTACAAGATACCGTAAAGTTGCTTGCAAGCTTGGGTTTCATTATAAATACCGATAAAAGTAATTTTATACCTTCTCAGTCTTGTAAGTTTTTAGGATACATTTTAGACTCAAAGAAATTTCAGGTCACTTTGCCAGAAGGAAAAATGCAAAAAATTAAATCTGCAATACACAAGTTTTCTAACTTAAAAAGGTGTAGAATCAGAGAATTTGCTAGTTTTGTTGGACTTTTAATATATCCGCTTGCCCAGCCGTAGAATACGGTTGGTTATATACCAAATTATTTGAAAGATGTAAATATCTTAATCTAAATATCAGTAATAATTACGACAAAAATATGGATTTACCTTGTTATTTGCGTCTGCGTCACTACAGCGCTACGTACCAAAAATGGTGAGCGGTCCCCTCCAACTGACTTCAACAGGAAGTCCTTCTCAGCTAGTAAGTAATGAGATGCAGAACCTACGCGTACCAGACAGAGGGGCTCAAATGGATTTAAACGCGTATTATAGAGAATGCGTACCTATTGGCAACGTACGCAATTTCCAGTCTGCAGCTCGACTGGTTGCTGGCCACAGAATTGAAGGTCAGATGAATCTCCTTGGCGAATATCCTGGGCCGATTAACTTACGGTACCCACTTTACCATATGCGGGATGAAGCTGCCGCAGCCTACGAGATTACCAGTGACTTCGCTGGGATAAGCCAATTGTACTATGCTCTGTAGTGACGCGACATAAGGTGCGATTAAATGAGAATCGCGACGGAAATCATCAACGAAGTCGTAATTCGCTGGCATTATTTCATTAGGATTCATTAGCAAGTCATCCTGCCAAATACATCCTGGTATCGGTGAGTGTTGATGGAACGACTCACGGTATGCACGCGGTGTAGCTGGATCCGCTAGAGCGACGACTGTATTCCGTAGATTACTTAATAATATGGCCTCTGGTCTTGGCACATATTGCCTTCGTCGGTCGTATACTTCGGCTGCAACGGCCGGTGTGTACATTTTATCCTCATAGGTGAGGTGGCCAACAGCATCGATAATTCTTTTTATTGGCTCGGGAACAATAGCGACTGATTGAGCGACGCGAAGCATGTCGCTGGTTACTCTATACTGGTAACAGTGCTCAGTGTAGCGAGGGACGACGGACATATCCTTCTTTATATTCTCCAATTTTGCCTCAAGGAGCCCGAGAGATACGCGGTAGAACGCGTAAATGCTTGGAATCTGGATGTTGGTATGATATGATATTGCTATATAGGAAAGATGACAAATCCCGATTCCTATTCCACGGGTGGTGATCGAAAGCGTGATTGCTTTCAGCGTCTGTTGTTCCGAGAGGCGGGCTAAAGCGTCGTTCTCGTTGGAGCCGACAAAAAGCTTAGCTCTAAGTTCATTCTGGAGGTTGTCCATGGTTACCTTGCCCTTCTGCTGGCGCATCTGGTCGACTCGGCCGCGTTGGTAAGTCTGCCTAGATTTGGTTTGATGCCCAGGTCGTTTGTTGCCCTTTCGTGGCTGTGGCGATTGCGCACGTGAGTTAGAAAAGTTATCCATCTCGAAGGAGTTGGAGGGTCTGCAATCAGAATCCCAAAAACTGGTACAGTTTGAGTCCTTTTTATTTCTTCGTGGTTACCTGTCCACAATATATTTAGATGACTTCTGTTTAATAGGGTTAGATGAGGAGTCATGTCTTAAAAACTTACAAGATACCGTAAAGTTGCTTGCAAGCTTGGGTTTCATTATAAATACCGATAAAAGTAATTTTATACCTTCTCAGTCTTGTAAGTTTTTAGGATACATTTTAGACTCAAAGAAATTTCAGGTCACTTTGCCAGAAGGAAAAATGCAAAAAATTAAATCTGCAATACACAAGTTTTCTAACTTAAAAAGGTGTAGAATCAGAGAATTTGCTAGTTTTGTTGGACTTTTAATATATCCGCTTGCCCAGCCGTAGAATACGGTTGGTTATATACCAAATTATTTGAAAGATGTAAATATCTTAATCTAAATATCAGTAATAATTACGACAAAAATATGGATTTACCTTGTTATTTGAAACAGGATTTTTATTGGTGGAGCCGCACCATGGATAAAAGCCCTGCTTCTAAGATAAAATTGACAAGTATAACCTAGAAATTTTTTCGGATGCCTCAAATACGGGGTGGGGAATTGCATGTGGAGACGACAGAGCAAGTGGTTTATGGAGTACAAATGAAAGTAGCAGGCATATAAATTATTTAGAAATTCTTGCTGCATTTATTGGTTTAAAGATATTTTCCAAAAATATGTCTAACTGCCAAATACTTCTCCGAATCGACAATACCACGGCAATTTCCTACATAAACCGTATGGGTGGTATTCAGTTCCCACACTTGACAGAGATCACAAAAGAACTCTGGCAATGGTGTGAACGTAAAAATCTTTACGTCTTTGCATCTTATATTCGATCTTCAGATAATTACCATGCAGATCAAGAATCGAGGCGAATACATCCGGATATTGAATGGCAACTAGCGGATTATGCCTTTCAACAAATCATTGAAAAATTTCATAAGCCTGACATTGACATATTCGCTAGTCGCTTAAATAATAAATGTCCAAGATATATATCATGGCAAAGGGATCCGGATGCATACGCCGTAAATGCTTTTACAGTGTCGTGGTCAAAATTAATTTTTTATGCTTTTCCTCCTTTTACAATGATTCTGAAATCTTTAAGAAAAATTATCTCAGACAATGCCACAGGTATTATAGTTGTTCCATTTTGGCCTACACAACCGTGGTATCCACTTTTTAAGAGTCTTTTAATAAGTGAACAATTAGTTTTCAAAGCAAATTCAAATCTTATTTTATCTACAAATTCCAGCCGCGAACAAATGCGCAACTCCATTACCCTGGTGGCAGGGGTCTTATCCGGGAGGCGATGATACGAAGAGGCGTCCCAGAATCTACTGTGGACATCATGCTTAACTCCCTTTCGGATAACTCGTATAAACAGTACGAAGGTTGCTATAAAAAGTGGTTTATTTATTGTCAACAGAATAAGTTAAACTTATACGAAGTATCAATTCCCGACATATTAAATTTTTTAACATCAATTTTTAACAGTGGTGCTCAGTATGGTACAATTAACTGTTATCGCTCCGCTTTGGCGTTGATCACTAAAAATAGTATCTCACAAAACCAAGAAATAAAAAGGTTTATAAAAGGAGTTTTTCGTACTAGACCTCCACTTCCTAAATATAATGAAGTCTGGAATATAGCTCAGGTTTTAAGTTGTCTTGAAAAATGGTTTCCCAATGAAAGTTTGAACCTGGAAATAATATCAAAAAAATTGATTACAATATTAGCCATTGCCACAGCAAATAGGGTACAAACCCTTTCCAAAATTAAAATTTGTAATATTGATAGGTCTTCTTCAGTAATTAAAATCAAAATTCCGGATCTCATAAAGACATCTAGAGTTGGAACAGCTCAACCATTGCTCGTTTTACCTTTCTATAACGAAAAGCCAAGTATTTGTCCTGCAAGAGTTTTGATTACTTACCTTGAAATGACTATGTCTCTTCGTGCTGATTCAGACAAATTATTATTTAGTTTAAAAAAAAAAAAAAAAAAAAGAAAAAAAATGTTGAGGATATAAACTCAATGATGAGTGTCATAGACACTATGTATATGATTAATTAAGATAAATAATAAATTAACACTAGTGTCAATTTAATTAATTAAGATAAATAATAAATTAACACTAGTGTCAATTTATTATTTATCTTAATTAATCATATACATTAGGAGTGGGTAATATCGCTTTTTCACAATATCAAAGCGAAACTATATATTGATATTTGATATTGGATTTTGAAACTATATATTTTCTGAAACTATATATTTACAGATACGCATAATCCGTCTCATGATGTTGTATCGTTCCATAAAGCATATTGTGAGAACCACCTAGGTATGCGATATTGTAAATATCGTAACACGATTTATAATCTCTAGGGAGCTAAATTACAAACAACGGTTTTGTCTAGATACTTAGCTGAAGTTTCCAAACATCACTAATTTCACGTGATGAAAAAGCCTATTACGTAGTTAGAGAAAACATACAATCGTCATCTAATGAACTGTCCTTCATACTTTTACCAGGCTTAGGACTGGCTGCATTATTGTCTGTTATGAAAAGTTTTATAATAAATTATACCTAAATGTAGGTGCCGACCGATAAAATAATGCAGGCGTATTTAACAGTTCATTTGATGATATATACAAACTTTTTATATTTACACTATTTACATTGTCTATTTACATTTTTAACTATTTACATTGTCTATTTACATTTTTAACTATTTACGTTATTGTTTAGCATTGGGTAGTTTAAAATATTATTTATTTAAATCTGTTTTCATCCAGATTTACGTTTAAAAATGCGAGCTGGTTCACTTTTGATGTTGTCAGTCGAGTGCGACGATCATTTATAATTAGTCCCGTTTTACTAAAGATTCTCTCGCATGGAACTGACGTCGCCATGATGTTTCCATATTTTTTTAACAGTTTCGCCAAATATGGATACGTAAACCTATGTTTGCGCCACCATTCGAGAGGGCAATTCCACGTAGTTCCTGTGAAAACTGGCAATAGGTCGTCATTCAAATAGCCATCTATTTCTTTAATGGCTTTTGACACCGGTGTCCCGACATTTTGTTTTTTTCCCACTATTTCACCTAAAATTGTCCATGGGGAAAACTTGTCAGCATTGTTGTGGTCCTCAGATGCCGAGACGGGTGCCTGTTCTTGCGCTCTCTCCTGCGCTATAATTCCACTTAGTAAGTCCTGAACTCGTTTTTTAGTATTTCTAATTTCATTTTCGTCAGAAAAGACAGCCAGTTTGTATCGAGGATCTAAAAATGTACATACCGAAAATGTTCCACTTCTTTCAAGATTGGAGAATCTGATTATTAGTCCTGTCCTTAAAGTGTAAATTAGCTCTTTAGATACATCACAGAATTCTTCGTCCAGGAGTTTGTCACATGATGTTATTAGACACCGTGTCATGACTATGACTGAACTACCAGTCATATACTTTTCGCCGCTCATCGATTCTGTCGCATCATCGAACGGTTTCAATATTTTTGTGACTTCGGCAAGTAGCAACCACTCTTCGTTGGTAATAATGGGAAGGTCCTTTCTGATGACTGCAACTGTAGACCTAATGCAATGTTCCAGTTCCACGAAACGCCGTATCATGTGAAAGCTGGAGTTCCAGCGCGTCGGAACTTCTTGAATCAAGCGTTTTGGTACGCAGTTTGGCTGGTCATTAGTTTGTGCTTTTAATAATTTCTCTAAGGCGGTGCTGTTTTTTTTGAAAAAGCGCACAATTTTTTTTACTTTGTCTAATACGGACTGTAGGGTCTGCTCTCTTGTAATGGCATTCTGTAAAATTAAGTTTAGCGTGTGTGCATAGCATCCATAATGCTTCCAACCGATGTTAGTAACCGCTCTTTGAATATTGGCCGCATTATCAGTTACTATAAAATTAATTTTGTTTAATGTTAATTCATATTTACTTATTAGATCAGTTAACACACTCTGAATGTTTTCACTCGTATGAGAATCCTCGAAATTAGAACAGTCCAGCAAGATGGTCTTTAGCTCGAACTCCTCCGTGATAAAATGACAGGTAACAGCCAAATACGATTCATTGGCTCTTGATGTCCATAAGTCAGCTGTAAGACACAAATGTTCAATGCTGCCCAATGTCGTTGTTTTTAAAGTTTCTTCGGTTTTATTGTACAAGGCAGGAATCATGACGTTAGAAATAGTTTTTCTAGTCGGGAGTTGATACCCAGGAATCCAGCGCATAAGTTTTTTAAAAGCTCGTTCCTCTACTAATGTAAAGGGGTGATAACTATCTATGAATAAATCTAGTACATCATTGTCGATCTTTCTTTTCAAGTCACCAGATATTTTTTTAGGGGCGCCATATCTTTCTATACCTTGTTGTCTTACGTGACGTGGGCGTGAAACTGTTGGATGCGCTGCTGTTGAAGTTGACGGTGTCGGGTTTGCTAACGTAGTTATTGTAGCCGATGTTGACACTGTTGCAGATGTATCTGCGGCAATAATCTGATCTGCTGAGGCAGTTTGGGAAGTCCTAATATCTTGCTGCCCGGTAGCAACTCTCGTATAAGCATCTAAATGCTTTTTTTTTAAATGTGCCTTTAGATTGCCTGTCGTACCTTTATAACTATAACTGTCACCACAAACACGACATTTGGCTTTTTTGTCGACTAAATTTGTTTTGTCAAAATAGTCCCATAAAATACTCGAATTTATACGAGACATTTTTAAAAATAGTTTTTAACACGAGTCACAAAGTGTTTCAATATAAGTACCTACTCTAATTTTTACACTTAAATTTTATTTACACCTTAATACCT